GTAAGTATGATTTTTACCATTAAGCAGTTTACAAGCAAATTGGGATTAAAGATGTGATCCATAAAACAACTGAGAAAAGAATACAATTAGAGACTGGCTCTCCTAGTATAAACCTACTATCATTGTGACAGAACAAGAACAAGTCTGGATTGTGGAAGGGCACTTGATTTTCTGCCAAAAGACTGAGAGGATATACGTGAGATAATAGCCACACAACAACAACAATAAGAACACCATTAACAACAAAAGCAACAACAACAACAGCAACAACAACAGTAACAACAACCATAACAACAAAAGAGGCTTTCCAATCCTGGTTTAAGGCTTCCTATAAATTTTAACTGTTGTTTCCAAACTGTAGATTTCACTAGCTAATGAAGTTTTGAGTTTAGATGTACTGGGAACTGTCACTTTGACCTGACTGCTAATACATTTGAGAATTAGGTTGTCTGAACATTTTTGCAAAGCACCCTCAGTAAGAAAAATGTTCAGATTTTATTCTTTAATTGAAGACATTGACTTTTTTTATTAGACAGGTAATTCAATGATGGGCTGAAGAATTTAGCAATGAGAGGCACATTTGTCCAATGGTTTTGGGTCAGCTTTAAGTCCTTTCAATGTTGCTATCATCACACAGCTTCTCTCTGCCATCGTCTGTCCTCTCAACCACCCCCATTCCTGCTAAAGTAATGCTATCAGCTCGAGGAGTGGTAAGATAAAATCCAAAATCAGTGTTGCACGGGCTAAGGAACTCACTTACCAAGACATGGTGGCAGGGCCAGCTCAATTTAAATCAGTTCCCAACCTTTACTGTACCAATGGTCAACATCTAATTTAGCTAAGCCTGACAAAACTGATGTATTAAAATAACTACAAAGATAGGTTTTTGGGCTTTCTGCCTGCTAGCAGATAGAGATTTTGGATATATAGGGCAGTCCATCTGCTTGATACTTCAAATAAGATCTAAAAAGAATGCTGGTATCACAGAATGGCATCAAAATTGTTTTCCATTCTTTACTCAAGAAATGTGTCGCTTGCTCAGTTGCCACTGACCCATGTTCTCCACATTTCTGCCACTTGATTATGTGTCGATGCTGTTCAGATGTTTGTTTACATTGGCCATCTGATATCCACAGGTCAAACAAACACAATCTTTAAATCCGATTCCTATGGGTTACATGTGTAATAGTTCATCTTCTCACACTGGGAGGAAAAACAGTGGGAGCTGGCCCAAGCTCCGCCAAATAAACAGACGGAGCTAAGGCCACCAACATGCTCCTGTAGGGAGCTGTTCTTCCACACTGCTCCTGAAGGAGATAACACTCCCCAGTGCATGACTGGATGATTATATTCAGTGTTTCAGTCACACCATTCAAAAAGGCACAGCCTCTTTGGGTTCATTATCTACTTTAACATGCTAGTAGATTTCATCTGGGGAAGTTTTCATACAGATGTGTCCAATACAAAGAAAGGTAAGGAAGGAGCCACCTTTCACCTTTCACCACCCAAGAGGTTTTGAAGAAGGTACGACAAGACAGAAGAATATATTTTTTTCTGATGTGATGTGTTCTCATCAACATTTTTAGTTGTTATCAGGACTTTAATGGAGTTGTTAGGAAAAGTAGTTAGAGAAAGCCTCAGGTTAATTTTCATCATTACCAAGCACTTTATACCACTGAAGAATTCCAAACATATAAAGAAATGTCAATCTTGTTTCTTAGACAGAAAAAAAAAAATGGGGGGTGGTACTATTTCAAAGGCTGTCAGTAGACAAGTCAGTCAATTGCAGAGCTGATTTAGTTCTTAACTCCTTGAGGTAAAAGACAAATATTCTATAAGAGTAACCATTCCTGGCATGCCTTAAATGAAACAACTTTAAAAATCTATGTTCTCATGGTAATACAGTTTCAGATGAAAAGCTATGAAAGTAAAAACTAGATATCTAAATCAAGGTAACAAATGGGTAAATGAAATCATTTGCCACTGCAAGACTGAGGGAAATGTCCTTACTATACTTAGTCATTTAGCTAATTAGCCAGGAAGGCCTTATTGCATGATATTTCAAAGCCAGTAACCAACTAAGTGGGCCCAAATCCCAGTTCTAACACAACTATGTGGCCATAGCTGAGTTAATTAACTTCTCTGTACCTCAGTGCCTTTGTCTAAGAAATGTGGATGATGGTCCCATTGACCTTATGGCGCTGTTGTGCAGATTCAAATTAATACAGACAAAGCAGGAACTACCTGATGAGGTTTCAATGTCACATCAGTGTCATCCATGCACAACAGCAACTTTCAAGGTTTAGAAAGTATTCACGCTGTGATAGAACCCTTTCTGAGAAATTTTGAAAATCTCTAGATGATTGAATGGGCATTGAATCTCTGCCAGAAAGCATATCATTTTCTCTCCAGTAGGGTTACAAGTTCCCTTGGCCCCATTGAACACTCTTGAAGTTTCAGACAACTTATTAAGAACTGCCAGAGCATCCTTTTAAGATGATAATTTATCTTTTTAACTGTACTCAATAAAACCAGAAGAAAAGAGCCAGGTGGGAATAACAACCTGGGATTATATACAGCCACGAGGTTTACCAGTTCTACAGATTCTGCTGCAGGGCACAGTAAAATGGAGTAAATGTAACTTATCTTGAACAGTTGCTGGAATGAGTTACTAGAGGAGCAGCAAGTTACACAGGAAGCAAAAGAAACCCATGGGGATGGAAGGCCATGATCATTTTATTTAGGGTGCATAGTAAAACCTAACTAACGGCCTACAAGTTAGGTCTTGGGAGAGTTTTCTGAGGTTTGCAAACAAATGCAAGCAGCTATAAAATGTGTGCTTTGGACATAACTCTGTGAAATGATGCTTGAGGTTCCATGGGAGTGCCTACATGCCTATCAAATCCCAGTAACTTGGTTGACAAGAGAATATCTGGTTGTCCACATTTTCTCTGTCCCCGAAAGATCTTCTTGGCCACTTGCTCTGTCTGTCTATCCCCAGCTTGCCTGTTGACAGAGTATTGCATGGCATCCCTTTGTTCTGAAAGGGCATCCTTTAGTTTCACACTAGTCTCAAGTTCACCCAGTCAGACAATTCCACACACCTTTCCATCTGTTAAGGTTTTTCCTGTGTACAGTGCTCTTTTCAAACTCATTTTGAATATAAAAGAATCACCCTTTACCATCAGTGAGGAATCCTTTCTCTCCCTGTAAAGCTGAAGACTGAATAGGATACTTCAGTGACAGTGTCTGAGGAGACACTCATGGACAACTACATGGCTTAAATAGATAAATTCAATTAGTTCTTCCCAGGGATCTTCAGTTTACTTTACAACTCAGTATTTCAAAGAGTTTTAAAGAAATTCTAATTACTGCGTAAGAAATAAGTCAAACACTTCTTCTTTCATTGTGAAGGGCTTTTACTACCCACTGCTATAAAACATATATCTTTTTTTTTTCCTGTTGCTATCTTAGCAGAGTAGCCTGCATACCAATAGGATCACTAAAATGCCACGGAGCAGAACATATTTATCTGTTAAATTCTATGTACGGTAACCTAACAAATGCCAGAGACAGAAAGATCGCCCTCTGCACGGTAATACTTGTGTAGATGTCTTCTTTATCTTAACAATGACAGGGCTTCATGCCTGGTGCTATACTCAAAAATCACAGTGCATTTTTTTTTCCAATAGAAGACTCTGTATCAAAAGGGAAAAAGAACTGCACATTTTTGCCACTGAGATATTTTATGTGGATAATAAATTTTTCCCCTCAAACTCCACTAACTACAAGTATCTACCTAGAAGATGAAATGGGAGATTTATGTCATCAGAACTATTCAGGAGAGCAGAGGATCATTTTTTTCTTCTTTTCAGGACTGTCAACTTTGTTTACTGTTTATGTTCAATTCTGTCTTAGACAAGAGCTTAAATAGTCTTGTCATAACTGCATGTCAAAATCTTAGAAAAATAAGGTAATAAATGCAAACTGATATTAATAAGGAGCACTTTCAAAGACACATGACATTTATTGAAATCTAAATTGTAACTGGAATGTTCTAATTATATTTGTACTAATCAAAAAGGTTATTGAGTCTGTAATTTTGTGACATTTTAGTATGTTTTAAAATGGAAATGATTCAAATATTACTACAAGTAATTTCAAAATCACACAGATGAAATAATGTAAGACCAGGAATTGCTTCCATAGAGCAGCATACATACTGTCAAACTTGCTAGGCTTTTGCATGCATTTTTAATCCAAATTTAACCATTTGGCTATTGAAATCATTCTTAAATAATATTCTCAAGCAGTGCTACACAATCAGAAGGGTTTTGTTTAACCTTTGTTTCATTAAACTTTTTATAATACAATTTCAATTTCCAAATGATACATAGTAGCATGTATAATGACAGTAACTGAATCCTAGCTAATTGTAATACTTCAGCAGAGCCTAGTAACAATTTATGAATTGTGAAGAATAAATCTATTTGACAGGCCCGTTAGCAAGAAGGCCTTCAGCTTTTGCTCTGCAGCAGGATAAACTAAAATCTACCCTTTCCTTGCTGTTGTTAGAAACATTTCAACAGTTAGTTCTTTTTCACAGAAAATGCGGCAAGAAGGTTCCAGGTTAAAAAAAAAAAAAAAAGAAAGAAAGCAAAGAAAAGATCTTAACATGGTTGAATTTTACACATGGCTATTATTGGCTAGGATACATGATAAGTTAAAGCATACAACAGAGAGGTTATTATTTTTTTAAGAGGGTGAACTTGACAGAGAATAGTATTCTAGATTAGAGAGTAGATGGTCTGTAATCTTCCTGGTATTGTAAAACTGAAGCTGGCTACAGGGAAAATAAACATTATAATCCCCCGCACTTAAACAATTGCACCTATATGGTTAAGTAACAAAAGCGTGAGGCACCTGGAATCACAGCATTTGTTCCTAATGCCAGCAACAATATAAAGCATTCAAGTGACATTTGATAATGAGCAGACAGTGGAGGCATCACACACGTCTTTAGAAGAATCAGACTTCCTACCTTGAAAAGACAGATGGAGGTAAGTTCCTTTATAACAAAAAGTTGTAAGTAAAGCCAGGCAGCAGTTGCAGTAAATTGAGTCCTTTCAGTCACTGTATACATACAGCAGTTCGGCAATAAGGGGGAGAAATATAATGGGAGGAGCGGCAGTGAACGAGTGACCTCCGCAAGCTGAGTCCTCTCTGTGAACCAAACACTGAAAGGCACTGCTCCTGATTTGCGTGGATTAGCTCCTCTTGAACAGATACAGAGCAGATACATTTAAATTGAGCTGGCACAATGGCAAAAAGATGGAAGAGTGAGTGAATGAGGGACAGCGCAAGAGAGAGGGAGAGAGGAAGAGAGAGAGAGAGAAAGAGAAACAGACGCGAGATCGGAGAGCGTGGATAAACTGGTTCTTGCAGAACTGTGTCTCAGAAGAGCTACAGCTCCCTCTTCATGTCACAGTTGTAAGATAAGAAATGTTGTCATTAGGAACTGGTTAATCATAGGGAAAAATATACCCAGATCAGCCGACGCTCCGTGGGATCTGAATTTTACGAGCATGTTAGGATTCTTCCCGTTTTGTCATTAGGATTTTAGACCATATACCAAAAAAATCTTTTATTACCGGATAGGTAGACAGGTGAGGATAAAACTGAGTTTTGCTTGTGATCAGTGCTTTGACTTAAATGGCTTAGATGTTAGTGAAAGAACACAGCCAATTTGTTCAGTAGAATATTTACTTTGAAAGAAAATTGATCCCTGTTAACTTTTAAAGTGAATAATTAGTGATAGGTACTGCAATGTAAATAGAAAATAATACTTGAATATTTGATTCATGATTAATTATCTGCAAGGACCAAGGTATATTACTAAAAGTAAGATTATTTTTAAGGAAATCTCCTTAAATTTCTTTTTTTCATATTGCTCTTTGTTGGTATTTCAGAATAAAAGAAATTCTTATTTTTTTATTTTTTTTTTTACAATGCAGAGGTATCTTTAAACATACAATTATTATTTACTTCTCTGTTTAATATCTTTAGAGCATTTCTGGGCTCTTACATATTAGTATTCTCATTTGAAAAATGGAAGAAGAGAGAAGGGGAGATGACTGCAACTTTTGCCAATAGCCACTCAAAAAGCCCATAGCTGATCTCGGAAGACTAGAATGACCCTTTTTAGTGAGTTACCATGAAGTCTGCCTTCTTTTTGGGTAGAGGTGGCTGCAGGACAACCAATAGTCAGGAAACAGGGTCAATTCAAAGGAAAAATCAGTCAACCCAGCTGGCTGATTGAATTGATCCTAGCACTGGAAGCCAGCATTGACTTGGTGTGAACCCAGTGACACTGGTTAAATATGTTTCAACAAATGGGATTATAGTTCTCAGCATATACATGAGCAAAATTTGAAGAGAGGAGCAAAAAAACCAGGCACATTTCCACTGCTGTTGGGACTCACATACCGCCAGGAAAGATAAAGAATTTAAACACACTGCACTTCCAGAAACTTCAGCGTGATGGACAGAATGATGTTTTAAAATAAATCACAAGGAAAATGCTAACACATTTCCATGAGGTTTAGTGAAGATCTGGACTTTCTGAGGAAAGCAGACATGGTGAGGATAGCAGTGTTTAGAAAACAATTGCTTGAAAGTAAAAGGGTGAGGACAATAGTTATTTTATGTCTGTGACATCCAACAGACTGATTGCTGTTAGAGTGGATGGGGAGTTCTCAGCTTTCTTTTTTTTTAATGTATCAATTTAGACACAGCTTGTACACAGGTCAGGCTTGTAATATTATTGAGGTCTTAATATTATTTTTCAGGTTGCAAACTCTTTCAACTCAGGGACTGTATAATATCCTTGACAACATTTCCCCAAATAGCTTGAAAGTGTGCTTTAGGTGTTGCAGATGTTCCACACATTTTCTGCAGAAAAGATATTGGAAACAATGGTAGATAGTTTGTGTTTTCTACCTTGTGGATTTCATGCCAAATTTTGGATTCAGAAGTGGTGTTTTGTACCCTCATTAAATGAAAAGAAATAAAATAAATATAAAGTGACTTTTCATGGATGGGACTGTGGTAGCAGTCCTACTAGTGCGAGGCTGTGCACTGACCTGTAAGGTGCTCCTTCTCATACCAGGCATACTTTCAAGAAGGTGAGGGTTTCAGTTTAGGATCTGAGTCATAACTTTCTGGGCACCAGTGCTGACTTAGCTATTTATCAGCTCTGTGACCTTAGTCAAGTTACTTAATTTGTTTATAACCAGGGGATAATAAAATGATCTTTATTATATGGTAGGTATAGAGAATAAAGGGAAGGATTTAGCACTGTACCTAGGTAAACACTTACACTGCAATTATTTTAAATCTGTTTCCATGGAATGGGAATGCATCTCTCTGCACTGGCCAGTGTTATTATGTTGTTCATTAGATGTTCAAGAAGATAATTTCTCTGTCTGTTCTTGGCCTTTTCTGGCCATTGCCGAAGGAAGGCTCCTTCCTGGTTCGTGACAACCAGAGGGAATAGTGCCTCTACCTTCTTATAAAAGACAGAAATAGAAATAGTGCTCTCAGGAGAGGTAGGGAGTGTTGTGGCAGCAGATCCATCCTTCTGCACAGGAATAGGAAATGACTTGTGTGCTACAACGTTAAGGGCACCCAGAAGTTCCCTGGTCCAGAAATATCTCCCCATCTGTCCTCTCCTAGTCCCTGAAATGCCACCATTAAGGCTCCTTTCTGTTTCACTGGCTTCCCATTCTCTCTTTCAATGCACACCATACTGGCAGAATTAACACATTAACAAGTTTACACTCCAGAGCAGTGCATGAATTTGTAGTCGTTTTAATGATTCTATCAGAGTTAATTTTCTAGTAACTAGCTGAAGATCAGCATGCCCAGAAAAAGTCAGGCTTCAGTTCAGGTAGAGAAGCTCACACAATGTGTAGTACACTGGGTGGGGAGGACGCCCCAAGCAGGAGACTGTGCTACCTGTGCTTGTGTGCAGTTGTGCCTGGGGCCATGGGGTGATCCTGTAGCTGGTCCTCAGAGAGGGACAGTGGAGGTCCCGGCCCCCTAGTGCATGCAGTGAGGAGCAAGGGTTCATTGAATCATGCAACAAAAAAGCAGTGAATATTTTTGCTAGCAAGAACCTAGGCCACCTACGTGAAAATAGATGCCGTTCATCCTCACGTTTTAGTGGAAATGTTGGAAACAGATTGATTCTAATATCAGACAATTGTACAAAGGGAAAGAAGTCAAAGCACAGTTAGGGTAACTAATTAGGCTTTTGCAGATGAAGCGATGCTTGGTACGGCTCTTGTAGACCAAGCAAACTGGACAGGTCAGGGATAAGGGAAGAGAAGGCTGTGGTGTGTTCTAGTCTGAGAGGAGACTACGCAGGGAAGGCAGCAGCAGAGGTCACCAGGCGCTGGCGCACTCAGTTACCTGTGCCTAGAGCTCAGAACGGAGAGTGAATCAAACACTGGGGGAAGATGCGCAGGGAATGCTGGGAAAAATAGAGCGGAGGTCGCCGGAAGGAGACCTGGGAAGTATGCATCACGGATGCTTTGCTCTTCTGTCCTTCCTCCGTTCTGCTCACCTTGCACGCGAGTTCACCAGGGCCCTGTGGTATCCCCTGTGGGCCAGGGAACACACGTGTAGATCAGTGTTTGAATGGCGAGGAGTGGTCTTCCCGGAGAGGCAAGGGGGTTCTCATGCCAATTAGATTAGAAATGAAGGTCTTCAGGGAATTGAAATATTTCAAAATTGTTTTGGAAAACAATCCTCTAACCCAAAGTGCTGTATGGCATATTCATATATGAATGAAAATTAATTGTGTTTAGAGACTTTGGGTGCAGCAAATCAGGATAGGAATCACTGCTGGAGCCCTGGAACTCATTTAGCACTGAAAAAATACAGCACTTTGAAATCCTCAGTGAGACGGATTACCAGCATTAATGCCATTAATACTAATGATGCTTAATAATTGGAAAATCATATTTATAAAAACAATAATGAAATAGAGTTAAACCAGATAGCAAACCGCCCAACTCTATTATAAAAAGCTATATTATAAGCTACCCACTGTCTTCTGTTGCTTGAATCTTAGTTATTTTGACATATTTACCCAGAAAATATTGGAGCTTCTATACTTAACCCAGGAATGACAAATTGCTTCTTGTAACTATTACACTTACAGTAAAATTCACTACAAGATAAATGATTACATAGATATTTGACCCAGTAGTGGGAAACATATTTGAATTCTAAAAAGGACAGAATTTAAGCTTAAAAACAATTAGTAATTGTCAATTTCTCATAAACACAATGACAAGTAAAACATCCAAAAAGGGCACCCAAACCACAGATGATTGAAAATTATGTTCATTAACAGAAGGAACACACTCGAATTGTTTCAAATTATCTTTTGATTATAGTTCTCGCCACTGCCCTTCTGCGACAGTGCCTCAGTGGGAGTGCAAAGAGTGGTTTCATTCAAGATTGAACTCTTTCTCCCATATTTTAAAATTACTTGACAGTCCATTTCCACAATAGAAATACACTTTTTGGCTCTCTCTCTCCAACAAAAATTTGCTGTTCTGCAGCAAGAAGTGCATTTGGCTAACAGACTCCAGCTAGCGGCACCTTCAGATTTCACCTTCTTGGGAAGCCCATGGACAATGACCAAGTGTCATGGGGATCTGCCTGTGTCTGCGAGGAGCAGGACTCCCCTAAGACACAATTTTTGCATTGAGTTCCCTTTGGTCAGGACTGTGAGGTCTGAGTGATGGTCTAAGATTTAAACTGTCCGTACTCTTAACTTTTCCATCTTTTTCTCTCATACACAGTTCCCAGGGAAATCTCCTTGCCTCTTGTGTCTTTACCTCCTGTCAGTGCCTACTTCACAGCAGACGCAAGTTCCTAAAAATGTATCATTGTTCTTGAAACAGAAGAAATTCTTCCTTTCTTATTCCTCTCCTTCACTAAAAAAGCACTGGGTTTATAATCTCACTTAGCCCTAGGACTCATAGATAGCACCACACCACATTTTAAATTCTCAGATGTTCTTATTCTGGAAATACACTTTGGAGAGCTAAAGGTTCTATAGGCATTGTTCTTACTGAACTGCTTCTCTGATTACTCCTTTGTTTCCACATCTCTGGCATACTGACTACAAAACATAGGCACACTACCAAACACAGAATTGAATAGTCCAATAGACTTATTAGGCTAACTGCAACAGACAGACAAGGAGCACAAACAACACGTTGATGCACTTAGATCAATAAGGCTCTGGAAGACGTTCAGGTTCAGCGCTGAAAGAAGTTCACATTAAGGAGGATTTGAACGATGTAGAGTCTAAA